GATGTAAATTTTATGGATAAATTAGTCTTTAATGAAATGGCATGTTACTTAAATTACAACATCACTCCTTCGAAATAAGTCGAGTTGAGTTAAATTTGTCTTATTTTGTATCGACTCATTAAAAATTAGTTCAATTCAAAATGTTTAAGTTTGACTCAAACTTTTTCTTAAACTCAAATTCGACTCGTTTAAATTCACGAACAATTCGATTTATTCGATTTATCTTGTTAGATTCAACTCACTTATTTTATATATTTAAAAATGATTTTTTTAAGTCTATTTTTTTAAAATATATTTCACAATTTAAATTAATATATATTTTTAAAAAATATATTAAAATGAAATAAAAGTTATCGGATTAAAATTTAACTTTGTTTTTAAAATTTACTAATTTAAAAAGAGTCATGTTAATTAGTGCCACCGAGACGCTCGTTAAAAATTCTAAGTAAAGAAAATATTATAGATTTAGTTCATTAAATAAATACAAGATTTTTAAAAAAAAAGTTAATTATTTATGTTTTACTGCATTGAATACAAATATTTTTAAAAAATATATATTTTTAGTATTTTAAAAAATAGTCATCTTACCTTTTTAATCTCTTAACCAATATCCGGAGCACTCGGTAGCATTTCCCACTTAAAAACTATAAAACTTTCAAGAAATGCATTTGAAAGTATAATTCAAAACCACTCAGTTGGAGTTTAAATTTGTGTAAAAATCTGTTGAAAGCTGTCAAATTCTGTTTTGGAAATTTAACAGTTTTGGCCACTTTAGTTGGTTTTGTTTGTTTTTAATTACTCTCTCATGTGTATATATACATTGTTGTAATCCCAATTCATAGTTAATGCCAATTTAGTGATTCATCCAATATTAATTACTCTCTTCTCTATTCTCTCTTTCTCTCAATTCATCTTCTTTCAGTACAAGAAAAAAGGAGATTTACGACACTTGAGTTGCGACAGTTATCACAAAACCGTCCTTATTTCTGGATTGCGACGATTGTCACGACAGTTAGGGTCAACTGTCGTAAATTTTTGGCGACAGTTATAAAAAAAAGTCCTTATTCTTGGACTACGACAGTTTTCACGACGGTTTGAGCCAATCGTCGCAAATTATTTAGGCATGTTGTATAAAATAATGCGACAGTTACCAAAGAACCGGCCTCTTTCCGCACTTGCGACAGTTAAGGCGAACTGTCGCAATTACTTTAGTCAATCATAATCACTATTTTTTTTATTCCTTTAATTTTCCACTTTTTTTCTTCATGTTTATTTTCTAACCTTTTCAATTTTATTAATTAATTTAATAAATAATTATTATAATTATTATAATTTTCATGACAATGTAGCTTAATAGTAATAAATTAAACTTAAAATACATAAAAATTAACATATTATATGTACATAAAATAAAAATTTAATTTTAAAAACAATTTTTATAGTAAAAATTAAATTCAAAATATTATATCCAAAATTAAATTATTAAAATTAAACTATATATCAAAATTTTATAAACTCAAAATTTTAAAAATAATTTTTATAGTAAAAATTAAACATAAAATTAGACTATATATCCTCATAATAATATAAAATTAGAAATATAAAAAATTAATTAAAATAAAATTGTACTATGTCGATTGTGATATCCATCGGTTTCTTTCAAAATTTCATCTTTTTCCCGCTAAAATTGAAAACTGATTCTCCTTTTTTTATGTGTATTTTTCTCTTCTTTTTCAGAAATCTCCGTTCATGCCCTTGGAGAAAGAGGGACACAAACTTTTTTCACAGCCACTCACGCCGTCATTGCGAATCACTGTCAAAGCAATCACCATTAATTCGAATCTTAACAGGTTTGTCTTCTCAAATCCTAAATTACTTTTCAAACCTTGAATCGGATCTTGGTTTGAAACCTTGTATGTTGTTAATTCAATGGTTTTGTCCTCAGTTCGTATCAGACTCGGTTTTGTTTCCAGTGATCATGTCTGGCTGCGGCGGTTACTTTCTCTATTGTGCTTGTTGTTTGATTTGGAGTTTTTTGCTTGTTTAGAAGTTTAAACTTGTAGCTTGATTTTTGATACATTGTTTATAATTCAGAACATGCTTCATACTATACTTGCCCGACGATTTGTCTGACTGGGAATTCGCTGATGAAGGCTATCTGATGTGAAGCCATTGCATACGGCGGTGTCCGGCAATTTGTCTGACTGGGAATTCGCCGATGAAGGCGATCTGTTCATGACCGACGGAGAGCCAACGCCAAGAGTGGTGTTTGGCGATGTCCCTACCTTTAAGGAAGCTACCGCAGAATTGAAGGAAGCTATTGATCAAATTTACCTTTCATCTGGTAATTCTCAATGTGATGGTTCATCTCCTGGTAGTCAACTCTCTGTTGTGTCTCCTCCTGCTAAGGAAACAGGGACAAAGTCTTGTCTTGTTGAGGCTATTTCAAGTCCTTCAGTGCCTAAGCATGCCATTCATGCTTTTCAAATGCTCAACACAAGTCCTGAGGCCCAGACTGTGGTGCAATCTATTGCTTGTGACCCTAATATATGGAATGCTGTCAGGAAAAACCCTGTTGTCACTAGTTTCTTCGAATCACAGCTAACGGCGGTAGAGTCATCAAATGATGCTGCTTATGTTGCTGTTGCTGGTTCTGAAACTGTAGAAACTCCTAAAAAAGAGGAGGGAGATGCTTTTGATCTTATGAATGTTCTGCAAAATTTGAAGCTTACAGTTACTGAAATGGTTAGCAGAATGTCCAATTTCTTTCAGAACATATTCCTAACAGCTGAGAAAGACAAATCTTCAACTGATGGTGGTGGAGCCAATTTCATGGATTATAAAAATTTGATGGGAGGAAGTTTCATGGGATTGGCAGTTATGGTAATAATGGTTGTACTGATGAAGAGAGTCTAAACATTCTTCACTAGACAATTATTATCTATCGAATTTTCTTGTCAGTTTTAAATGCTTGTATATGTGAAATACATTCGGAGCAACAGGTTCGCAGTGCATCTCGTACGTCATCCCGAACCACATTTCTTCACATGGTTTCCGCTGCGCATCTCGTACGTCATCCCCAACCACATTTCTCAACGGTTATCATAATCTCCCTGTATATTTTCATGCTAGAGCATTAAGTAGTAAGCTCCACAATCTAAAACACTGCCAATTCTGAGCATTAAGTAGTAAGCTCCATAATGGCAGCAAAAATGTCTCCATTGGCAACTTTGAGAGCTTTAACAGGTCTTGATCTTGGCACACCAGCTTGAGTCACCACCAACTCGATATCCTTAGGATCAACACCAATCTCGTCTACATATTCGTCTTCCGGAGCAGTACGAAAGGATTTTGGCTTTGCTCCGACACAACTCAAATTAGAAGCCTTGAACTGATCTGCTGCCTGAGTTGGTAGCTGTGAACTCAAGTCCTCAATCTTAGCTTCACCAAAACTAATGTAGGTGTTGGAAGTTGGTATCTTGAAAATAACTACTTCTGTGCAAAAGGATGTTTTGCTGCCTCGGAGACGACCAAGCGGAGGAAAAATGCCAACATCAGGCAAGAATTTGGAATGAAGCAATGCAGTGAAAGAAGATAAAGCACGAAATCAGGATCTAGTGGAATGACAAGATAATATGTGAGGGATTCAATTAGGCTTCACTTTGGTTACACATGTTTACTTAATTATGTTCAGAAATCATTGAACAATTTGATTATTGGAAACTATGTAGTCCGCCGCATGGTTAACCCTTCATCAAGGATCCTTGATTATACCATTCATGAGCTTGGGAAAGGGTTCAAGGCCCCTAAAGTGGAACATGGAGCAATGCAGAGACTCCGCGAGCAGGTCACTTTGGTTCAGTTCGAAGTTTGTCAGGCATCTGGGTTATGTAAAACTCAGTCCCTTAACCACCAAAAACTATCCCTTTCTAGAACTAGGAGAATGTCTTCATAAAGCTATTCCTCCCTCTTTCAATCAAAATAAGAGAGACACGACTTTGGAAGGAGTCATTTCATTGATTGTGTGACAAGAGGTATTATTGCCAAAATTTTGCTCAAGCAACTACTCTTACCATGCCTTCGGTTTACCGCCAGTAAGACAACACACACACAATACTAAGCGTTTATTGAAAACCTCTGATTGAAGTCTCGAGACTGGGATGGATGCTTTAGGAATTTCAGTTTTTTGCTTTCAGATTGTGAAGAGCATTATTGAATTGTTAATGCATCCAGAGGACCCAGCCTCTGCCAATGTGTTATGCTCTGGTTATAATAGGGTAACCAGCCTCTTCTCTCTTTTTTACTGGTATATGATTTTGTTGCTTATCCGTGCTACTTTTTAATTTAAGTCCTTTATTTGGTTTTGTTGTTTCAATTGTTGTTTATATAGTGGAATATTTTGATTGTTTGTTCATATAGAAATTATCTGTTTTGCCATTATTAGAGTATTCTTAGAGTTGGATTAGCTATTTCTAGAGATTGTAATGCAATGCCCTTCATTTGATTATACCAAGATTGATTTGTTTTATTAGTTGTCGAGTTGTTAGTCTTGAAATTTTCAACTTTGGTTACTGGTTATTAATTGTGAGTCGAGTGGCTCTTGTGCCGATAAACTTTGTAGAAGGGAATCGGTCCAAACATTGGAATCAGATAAAAGTCTTTCATCACCTGCCAAAACTCTATCTGCTTTAGAATTGTATTAGATAAAAATTCCTTACAGCAAATGAAAATTCCTTGGCCATTATTTTTAGCACACAACAGATTGGTTCTCACTGGTACAGTGGGAAAGATAGAAGTATGATGTTATCCAACTGTCTTTTCAGATCTGGAGGATGTGCAATACTATTAACAAATAAAAAGGAGTTGAAAAACAAAGCCATCTTGAAATTCAAAGAAATGGAAAGAACATGTTTATCTAGTGATGAAGCCTATAATTGTTGTATCAGAATGGAAGATAAAGAAGGGATCGAAGGAGCTAGATTAACAAAAAGTCTTGTCGAATGTGCTTCCAAAGCCTTAACCTTAAATTTGCAAAGTTGAGAATTCAACATTTTTGTGTTCATCCCGGTGGTAGAGCAGTAATTGATGGAGTTGGTAAAGGTTTAAAGTTAAATGAGTATGATCTTGAACCAACTAGAATGACACTTCATCGTTGGGGTAATACTTCTTCCAGTGGAATATGGTATGCTTTAGGTTATATAGAAGCTAAAAAGAGACTTAATAAAGGTGATAGAATTTTGATGATTAGTCTTGGGGCTGGCTTTAAGTGCAATACTTGTGTTTGGGAAATGATGAAAGATATACCTAATACCAATGTTTGGACTGATTCTATTGAAAAATATCCTCCACCATTACACAACCATCCTTTCGAAGAAACGTTTAATTGGATTCACGATGATCAACTTAACTTTGTGAGGTTCGATTTTAGCACTATCAAGATTGATTAAGAGTTCAAATAATATTCATCATCATGCAGAAAGATGCAGCTTGGTTGGTTGGTTACCGTTTTATAATATTATTATGTTATTAGCTTATTTGGTTAAAACCATGTGTGCTGTGTATGATGATTAAAGTATATAAATTTCATAACAGTAGTTTCCTATAAATAAATACCATTGACTTTTATCTAATTCCAATGTTTGGACCGATTCCCTTCTAGAAAGTTTTTGTGAGGTTTGATTTTAGATGCTCCCCTTCTTATATGGCTGCAACCTAACTAACTACTAATAGCTACTCAGTATCTCATTCAATTGCATTGAGTTAGATGCTCCCCTTTCCTTCCGAACAGAGCAGAGTCTATATTTAAGCATTATGTTTTTGGTCTTCCAAACCATGGGCCCATGCTGCTATCCCAAATTGGTGACTGCAATTTATAATAAATTTAGGCGGGGAGTTTGAGAGAATTTTGTTGAGCTTTCTAATATGAATTCTTATTAATGCATTCGTATCCTTACATTTGCAGCCATGCTTACCGTTGATGATGATAAGTTTTGGAAAGGTATGTCACCTAGCCATGCTTACCGTTGATGATGGTGAGTTCTGGCAAGGTATGTCACCTGTGGAGTTTGGGGATTTTCCTACCCTTCAAGATGCAGTAACTGTTGTGGGCTACCCAATTGGAGGAGACACTATCTCTGTGACCAATGGTATTGTATCACGTATTGAGATTTTATCGTATGTCCATGGTTCCACAGAACTTCTAAGTTTACAGGTTTGAATAATTGATCGTCCAAGAATCAACAGGGTCCATATTTGTTTGGGTGTGCTTGCCACCTGCCAAGCATATAGACCAAATTTGTTCAGTCAGAATCCTTGGCTTTTGTTTTTAATACTATTCATGACTGAGGTCTTTAGTTCAAGAATCCCTTAAGGGAAATGGGTGTAATATACATGTCATTAATAGAGTATTTGTCTATTGACAAAGTTGTGTTGTTCTTTTTTACAGCTTGATCTTCGTGTAAATCATACGCTTGTAAATGACCAATTTTTATGGATAAGATCACAGAAAAATCATTGTATTATAGGAATGTGCTGGGGACTGCGATAGTTTCCTGAGGATCCAACGTCCCTATGCGAGTCAATCGAGGGATCCAACGTCCCGGCGAGAGTCAATCCTAGCGCTTGTTTGCTTGTCTGTGGGTGTTTATTTTTGTGCGTTGTATGTTGTATATTATTGTTGTATTTACATTTCCCGCACTATTTTATTATCTGTTGCTACTGTGCTGTTGTGGGAGGGGCTCTGATGAGTGATAAGCCAGACCCAGGCTCGAGTACGTACCTAGCACTAGAAGCCGATTAGTGGTGAACCTGTATGTTAGGCATATACTAGTTCCCACGAAATCTGCACTCAGACGAGATTCTTTGAGATGATTTCTATTTCCAGCCCTATGGGCCGTTGAAAGGATTTGAGATCTAGGGATTGTCGACTCTGAGAACCGATCACTTGTGATTTAGCTAAGTGAGGCCGCTTCAAGAGATGATGATGCCACACCTTCTGGGTATCGTATCGTCGTTCTTGAAAGTCTGTGACGCTGATGACTACATAGGATGCCGAACCTGTGTCAGTTTAGGTCCATACCCATGAGTGAGAGGGTTTTTGCAGGAAACTTGACTTCCATCCTACCCGGTATTTTGGTTTTCTCTCGTCAGAGCGAACTTATCCCGTCAGCAGCACATCAGTATTCAGAGCTTTTGTGGGGGCTATGATCCCGTGTTTGCTGCATTAGAATTTTGCATTGCATTTCATGTGCATCTCATACTTGCATGTCCATCCTCGTCCGGAACAAAGAGCTTACCCGTCTTTTGTCCAACTCGTAGTTGACTTCCCGGCATTCGCATTGGACTTGAGTTAGTTTCTAGACAGATCATGAACTTCGCAGAGCAGAATCAGTTTGTTACCAGGGACGAGTTTGAATTGTTGAAGAACTAGTTGAGTCAGTTCATGGAAGCCATGGCAGCTATGAATAGAGGAGAGAACAACATTCAGAGGACTCTGGTGAATAATGTGGCTCGAGCCCAGCCTGTGCATACTCCTGTCAGAGACAAAGATGCATCTTCTCTCTGTGACATAGAGTATCAAGGTTTCACTTTCTCCATGCCAGATTCTCCAAGGATTGTTCCTTCTCCATGGATTGTCCCACATCCAAGAGTTGTTCCGCAGGTTAATGTTCGGAACCCACAGACTGTTGAGTATATGAGAAGACTTCAGCTGTTGGAAGATCAGATGGCTGCCTTGATAAATAAGAATACTCTCAACCTGAATGTTGCGAGCATGTGTTTGGTGCCAGGCCTTGTGTTGCCTCCAAAGTTCAAGATGCCCAATTTTGAGAAATACAAAGGGGATAGTTGTCTGAAGCTACATTTGGTTATGTTCTGCAGAAGAATGACTTCACATGTTACCAATGACAAGCTTATGATTCACTGTTTCCAAGATAGTTTGATTGAAGTGTCTTTGGATTGGTACATGCAGTTGAAGAGTGATAACATCAAATCATGGTCGGATCTAGCCAATGCTTTCGTGAAGCAGTACAACTACAACCTGGATATGGCTCCTAGTCGCGTGCATTTGCAAGAATCATCTCAGGCAGAGAACGAATCCTTTAGAAGGCATGTGCAGAGATGGAGAGAATTGGATGCTCGTGTTCAACCACCGCTTGTGGAGAGAGAAATGGTTGACCTCTTCTTGGGTACTCTGAAGGGCCGTTATTACGACATAATGTTTAGTTGTGAAACGACAAGCTTTGCGGACTTGATAAGAGTAGGAGAACATGTTGAGAGCGGAATCAAGAACGGAAATATTCAAGACATTCCTTATACTGAAGTTTATGAAGATGAATCAATTGTCAGTTCTCAAGAAGAATGGGAGAAAGAAAGTGATGTCATCCCAGAATCTCCCGTACCTCAGATTCAGTATCCAGACACTTCGAGTGCTCAGAGTCAGCAACCTGTTGCGTCTGTCTGTCAGATATCTGTTACCCGCCAGAGTCAACAATCGTATCGTCGTCAGCCGCTTCAGCACGCCCGACGAAGACCGAGGAAACCTGAAAGACAGTTTACTCAACTACCGGTGTCGTATAGTCAGTTGTTGCCAAATTTGGTCAAAGGTGGGCTGATAGTGCCGAAGGAGACTGATCCAATGATCCCGCCTTATCCTCCAAGTTTTGATGCCAACGCCCGCTGTGAGTACCATGGTGGGGCACTGGGGCATTCAACAGATGACTGTAAGGTGCTTCGAAGCCAAATTCAGACCTTGCTAGATTCCCACAAGATATCTATCACGCCTCAGGGTGTCGACTTTCCTTCATCCAGCCAAGTGGGTGTATCAGTTTATGATATGGGAGAGTTCACTGAAAGCAAATGTTCAGAGGAGTATCAGGATGACTTCGACGAGTAATTCTGAAGATGGCTGGTTCAGCAGCGAATCAGATGTGAAAGCCCGGTTCTCGGAAGCTGGCAATCCTTGTTTTATCATGTCATTTCTTTACATTTGTAGTTTCTTTTCTGTTAAAGCGCAAATTGCATTCGTAAAACTTGTATTGTTTTCAATTGATATTGATAATGAAATGAGTATGCATGTTTTGATTTAATCCAGTCGTGTTCACTCAATTTTTACAGATATCCAATGCTTGGTTAAGCGGAATCCGGGGAGGATGAAGAAGTTTAAAGACGCGTAAGCTTCCGATTGTATGCTCTTGAAAATAAAACCTACTGATGATGTACATGCATTGTTTCAAATCCCTAAACACCGGAGTTATAAGGAAGATAATCCCTTGTCAACCCCTTTGAGCCTAGTAGTAGGAGTTTTCTTTTGGCAAACGAAAAAACCCTCAATCTTAACCCGGGGCAGGGTAGGTGTTAGCTAATTTGACTGAGCGTCCAAATTGCAGAAAGGAGTGTCTGTTCGAGGATCAATCACACCTCTAGAGGTCGTGCCTAAAAAACCACAGTGGTTAAGCATCAGGAGTGAGACACACACATTATTCCCCAAAGAGTCAGACAACCAGTGTCACACGACTTGTTCAAAAAAAACGAGATAGCAAAAAGAATCAAAGGCCCGCTAAGTCAAAACTCAAAAACAAGTTACTTAGGCAAAAATGAGGGCATCCCGCTGGACTTAATAATCAAAAGAAGCTCAAAAGAGTCAGTCCAGACAAAAGTTAGGGAAAGAAAAAGAAAAATCCTCAAACGAAAATACAAGTCGTGTGACCCCAAGTGTCAGAGACGAAAAGTGAGAGGCTGTCACTCCAAAAACTCATAGTTTCTCGAACTATCACTCCTATCTTTCAACCTTTGAGAGGTAAACGCTAAGGTCGAATTAGCCGAACATAGGATTGGAGAACATCACGGAGAACGGGTGGGTTAAAATAAATTTTGAGCCTTTATCCTTTCCTTCAAAACCGTGAACCCAACCATGTTACAACCTTCAAAAGTCCTAATTGAAGCAGGTTTGTTTCGAAGGCATACTTCAGTAAAGATCGCGTCGAAACTGAAACCTAAAAGAGTTCTTCTTACCATGTTGGTACTGATGTTGATATTCTGATAAATGGTTTGTTCATTATATGCCATAAACTGTTTTTCCTTTTCCAGTGAACGGATTGGATGTCAAAACTGTCATATGCATTGCATTAATATATCTTTGATGCAGAACAACTTGTTTTACTTGCAAGTAAGCACTTGACAGCAAGAAAGTTTCCTACAGTGGAAAGTCTGATCAGGATAGAATGCAGAACGCCCGAATACTCCGTGAACCGGGGTAAGCTATATTAGGTAATCCCTAGTGATGTCAGCCATCCGAAGCCAGTTATTCTGAAGCAGTCAGGTCGAGATTCGATATATCTCTCGTAGTCAGAGGCACTACTCCGAACCAGCCAATCAGGGGCAAAGTCATTGCATACTGGGGCAGGCCACCCTAAGAGCGCAAAAGTTATTCCATATCCGAGGGGCAATT